GTCGTTGCTTCATCGCCGTCCCGCTCTATCTCTCTCGCTCTCTCTCTCCCTCCCTCTGGGAAGCTTCCGCGATCGTCTGCCTAAGCAGCACTCAATGACAGGCGTTACAAACGGCGGCAAGTTAATGACCCATGCGCAACAGATCACCCAGCAATTGGAATTGTCTTTGTTTCGCTGCTTTCTAAATGGAAAACAAATAAAAGAAAAAATATTTCAAAAAGAGGCATGCGAGGGGCCACCAGTAGAGCTCATAAAAAATTAATACAAATTACACGAAATGCAACCAGAGAGCAAACGAAAGATCGGGTAAGCCAATCGGTAGATAAACAGAGCATGAATGAGACGGTGCTGAGGTATTTGGAATGTGGAGCATGCGCTCGATGGTAAAGCCGCGACTTATAAAGCTTGAAGATTTTTTCTAATACGCCCACTAGGGGGCGTGAGAAATAATCTATACCATATTTGGAGTAAGAGAAATAAAAGAAAATATGGCTGTAGAGGCAAGTTAAGATCGGAATATCTGCTCGTATAAAAAAGTTAAGATCGAAAGTATATGGTAAATTGGCAAATTGGTTAAGTAAATATCTTCTAAGGTTTTGTATTCAGTTCAGTCAGCTTTTTGTTTAGGACTTTATAATATATAAGCTTTAACTAGGGAATGGACCTGTATATATGTAAAATCTAAACTATGGCTAAAGTTAGGTGTAAAATAAGTTTTTGCATTCTGAGCAAAAATCATGCGATCTTTCACGTTCTATTGCAACATTCTCAATTTGTATATGTTAAAAGCACCCATATATATTCAAATTAAAAGCAAGAAAGTATACGGACAAAGGCAAAGACAGAGACGGAATGTGAGGGAGATTGAGAGAGATAGGGCGAGGGAGACAGTGAGAGATAAAGAATGAAAGACCGGGAGAGTACGAAATTTTAAGCAGAACTTTGTACTATTTTTAGCTGTAGCTAAGCAAACGAGTTTAGTTAAGCTTATAACAAGAATGTTATTGGGAGCAAAGCAGAAGCGAAAATCCAGTTTAATATTACGCAAATCTTCACATTGTGAGCATTACTCATTAGCACATACTATGACAAGCCGTATATATGTATGTATATCGTACGTGTGACGTAGCAAATATACTTTCTTCTTCTACAGGTTTCTTTGAGGCAGTCCCAAACGAATATCAAAACAAAGAAGCGCGTCACAACGTCAAACTGGTGAAATACTACGAATTTCTAGATAGCCAGTCAAGCCTCATTTAAAGGCTGGGAAATTTTCATGAAACTTCGATTGACACACGCATCAGAAAAAGTTTTTTGATCATGTGGGTGATTTGACATGCAGATTGAAAACTCAATTAAAAGCTAATTTGACATGAATAAAGTAAATACTGTTTCCATGCAATTAGATATGCAAATTGATAGCGACAACAATGCTATCAATATATTTATTTTTATATGTATATCTGAACAACCCCAGATATGCTTGACACACGTCGCTCAGCATTAGCTACAAAAATTTCTATAAAAATTGCAATAATTACCCGCATCAGCAGGAAAGAAAGTTGATTGTAAAGATTTCAAAAATTCAAAAAAGACTTATCATGTAATCCTTTAAGAAAACAAGGCAAGGCAACCCAATTTATGCCTCATTGAATAATTCTCAATGGGAACTCTTATCTCAATAAACACATATTTATTCAATCTAGCAAAGGCAAAATCACTAATTGGCTCAATTAGGGCTAGCCTAATGCGTAAATTACCGACGGCAAATTGAGCTGAGAGTTGAATATTTTCTTTTGGCTAGAAGAGACTCCACCCAGAAATGCTGATTCATAAAAATAACAGCCACAAAATAAAGGTAGCCCATTAAATAAGGTTTCGGCCAAAGCTCCGCCCAGAGCACAAAAACGGAGAAAAAATGAGGCAACCCAAAATACCAAATCCCAAAACAGAAGCAGACCAAAAATCCAACTTCAGTCGGTTGGCTCAATGCGCGGCCGAAAGCGAAACAGAGAATGTTATTGCGGCTTCTTTCTGGTGTGTGGAATACTATGTTAGGGAAATAAGCCACGCCTTTTCGATTTATGTTGCCGGCGCGAACCCGGAAAAGCAAGAAGCGAAGAAGAAAACACAAAAAAACCAACTATGCAGCGAGTTTGTCGGGCAAACTGTGTTAGAGCAGTGCAAAAGAACACACACACAGACAGAAAGAGAGATACACACGCACACACAGTCAAGCCGGGCGAGTAGTTCTTGTAACAATAGAAGGTCTAGAGCAACCCCTAAGTGGAAGTTGTGTAACAGCAGAGACTTGAGACGAACTGCTGCTCGAAAGGCTAAACCCAAAAGTACAGACGACGATGACGATGACGAGTTTGTGGGTGGAGTTAGAGAGCCCATTCAGTTGGCCAGCTCAACTTGTGGATAGGCCACAATAATGTGGTCAAGAACAATCGAATCTGTTTGGCCCTCAATTGCAGCAACAGAATTTCATCATTTGGAAAGTTGTTTACAGGATTTTTCTTCTTGTTACATCGTATTAATCATTTAATCGATCGTAATAAATCTTGCCTTTGTTGCATGAATAATTTGAGCTACATTCGAGGGAGCTGACTAATGAATGAATTTTATATAATGCTTATTTTAATTTGAAGTGGGATTTTATTAAATATCAAGTAATCTAACTATCCATATATTTATTAAAATATTTTACAAAGTAGAAACTTATAATAGAAGTAATAATTTTTAGCGGTATGTGTTTATTTGACAAAATTGTAAATTCTATTATTTTATATTTGTTTAGGCTAATTTTTTGTTTTTCTTTCTATTCAGTTAAAAAAATGTATTCATGCGAATTCATTTAAATATCCAATTAAATAATCGAGTAAATATCTATGAGTAATCAAGTAAAAATATATATAAAACATAT